TACTCACCTATATATAACTTTCACTTTTCTCTACACCAATATATTATATTCTTCTCTTTATCTCTTCAATTTCAGTTTATTAATATGGTGAGTCCCAATTTTATGTTTTCATAGTCTTTGTCTTTTAGATAAATGATATGCTTTAACAATAGTTTAGAAACATGAAAATATTAATGAGTTGGTTAAGCTTGCTATATATCCCTAATTAATAAATAAATATGTAGTAAAATAATTTCTCTAATTATTTGATGTATATTAAATTAATATATTTATTATTATTTTCTGTTACATATACATTAAACCAAAGGAAGAGAAAGAGACATACCTTTTGATTTTCCCTTTCATAAAAAGCTCACTTAATAATAAACATATTTAAATCTTCCTCTCATAAAATATTCTCATTATTATCATTAATTTTGTAATATTATTACCTGTCTCTTGAAATTCTCTTCCTACTATATATATGGTCCATTGATTTCTTTTCAAGGCAATATTGATAAAACAAAAAAGAAATAAGGAGTATGCTAACCAATGAGATATGCAAGTGCAAGGGCTTTCTACAATGAGAATGGCAATGTGAGGTGCATCACGTTTTCAGGGAAGTGAACTGCAATTTGTATTTACATGGCTTTGAGATTTTACCATTTAGAAAAGGAAGAGATACACCTAATTTGATACATGAGCATCTTAGAAATGATTTGTTAGGAGTGTGTAGATTTATAGCCTCCAAATTAATTAGTACTTAAGCATTGTTCATTGTAAATTTTTTTTTTTCACTTGATTGTTTCTTAATTAAAATTCCTAACAAAGTTCTCTATTATTATTATTGATTAAATATTTATAATTCATGAAATTTATTAACAGGTCAATCGTGTTTGTAATGATAGCTAATTTTTATTCTCTTGATTTTTTGGGGCCAACTTATACTCTTGATTATTTCCACTAGATTTTATTTGTTCCTAAAAGTTCCTAACATTTTTTTTTATAATTCATTAGATCCATTATCAAGTTACT